CGCGGGAGGGCGAGAGAATTCACCAGAGCCAGAGCGGGGAGCAGAGCAGGCAGAAGGACCGAAGCACACTGCTGAGGGGAGCAGCGGGCAGCAGGAGAGGTCTGCGCGCCATGTGGGACCCTCCTCTGGTGGCCGGGGAGCAGCCGGGGATCGAACCGGCGCCGCAGAGGCCGCGCGCAGCTTCGCAACCCAGCGCTCAACCGCTGCGCCACCGGGGAGGCCCTCTATTTTTAATTTTTGAGGCACTTCTATGTCATTTTCCATAACCAACTTACAGTGTAAAAGTGTCATTTTCCATAACCAACTTCCAATCAACAGTGTAAAAGTGTCCTTGCTCCATACTCTTGCCAATGTGGGCCTCCCCTGGTGGCACAGTGGTTGAGCTCTGGGCTGCGAAGCTGCCCACAGCCTCTGTAGTGCTGGTTCGATCCCCGGCCACAGGCGAGGTTCCCACATGGCATGCAGACCTCTCCTGCCACACCTGCTGCACCCCTCAGCAGTGTATTTCATCAGTCTGTCTGTTCTGTTCCCCGCTCTGGCTCTGGTGAATTCTCTCACCCTCCTGCTCTTCTGACTGTACCCAGTGCTTGTATAAATAAATAAATAAAAATCTTTAAAAAAAAAAAAACAAAACTCTTGCCGATGCTTGGTATCAGCTCAAAAGATAATGTATAACAAAAGAGACAATAAAAAAAAGGAAGAAAAGGAAGAGACATCTGACTGATTGGGAGAATATATTTGCACTCCATTCAATGGATAGGGGACTGATATCAGAGATCTACAAAGAACTTACACAACTCAACCAAAACAAGGTAAACAACCCAGGAAATATTGGGCAGAAGAGCTAAAAAGACACTTTTCCAAAAAGGAAGTGCAAATGGCAAACAGATATCTGAAAAAAATCTTGACAACACTTATAATTAGGGAAATTCAATTCAAACTACAATGAGAAATCACCTCACACTGGTGAGAATGGCCCATATTAAAAAATTGGCAACAATAAATGCTGGTGAGGATGTTAAGAAAAAGCAACCCTCTTACATTGGGATTGCAAACTCTTCCAAACACTATGGAAAGCCATGTGGAGAACCCTCAAATTCTAAAAATGGAGCTACCATATAACTCAGAATTCCACTCCTAGGAATCTACCCAAAGGACTAAAAAACATTAATTAAAAAAGATACCTGCACCTCTATGCTTATTGTAGCACTACTTATAATACCTCAGAAATGGAAACAACCTAAATGCCCAAAAACAGATTACTGGATCAAGAAGATGTGGTATATATACACAATGGAATACAGTTCAGCAATCAAAAAAAGATAAACTTATGCCATACGGCAACATGGATGGAGCTGGAAGGGATTATGTTCAGTGAAATAAGTCAAAAGGAAAAAGAAAAATATTAGATGGTTTCACTTATAGGAGAAATATATGGAAATCTTAACAAAGGGTCATAATAAAATAGACAAAACTTGCAGGCAAACTATAGATCTGAGGCATACAGCAGGAGAAAGAGATGGAGAGGGGTAAAACAGGGAGGGAAGAGCACAAGGGTGTAAGGTGATGGTTCATGGGTGGTGTGATGGTGGGAGATTTACAGGGACTACACCTGAGGGAAGAAATGAAATATTGTATAAAATGAACAGAATGTAAGAAAATAAAAAAGTTTAATCAATAACAAAAAAGAAATAAAAGACAGGAAAATTACCAAACTCAAATAATTAAATGTATTTTTTAATTAAAAAAATTATGTATTGCTGAAGTTACAGAAAAATTAGAAACTGTACATTGCTATTAGGATTTTTAAATCGACACAGTATCTGTGGAAAAAAGTTTGACAGTTCCTCATTAAATTAAATATAAACTTAACATACAAAAGCAACTCCACTTTGTAACTATATTTCCCAAGTACAGTTTCTTGTATATGAATAGTCACGGAATCATGATTCATAATAGCATAAAGGTAGTAACAATTGTTGAATACATTAAAAATATATAACTTATCCACAGGATGGAGTAAAAGAAATGAAGTTTTAATGCATGCTACAATATTGATGAATCTCGAAAACATGATGTTAAATGAAATAAGTCAGACGCAAAAGGGCATATATTGTATGATTTCATTTATATGTAGAGCCACAATAGGCAAATTCATAGAGATAGAAAACCTATAAGCTATTTTGTGGTATTGGAACATAGGAAGATGAGTTACTAATTAATAAGTACGGACTTTCTGTTTAGGTGATAGAAACATCTGATAATGAAGGTGACAATTGCACAAAATAGTAAATATACTTAATGTCAGTAAGTGTACATATAAAATTGTTTAAATGTGAAATGTTATATATATTTTACCACATCTATGAATATAAAATAAGGCCTTTTTTTTCACTCACTTCATGCACTATACATCAATTTTTTTCCCAAAGAAATTATGAATTTGCTGTGTATATTAGGTAACATGGCAAGGTTAGGAAAATTGGAAAGAAATGATAATTTTTTTCCTAAAAAGCAGCTAAGTTAAATTTGGCATCCAGCATCAACTCTACAGGTATCAATGTGTGGGATTGTTGTGAACTGACAGCTTCCCTTTCTCTCTCCTCTGTTTTTTTTTTTTTTTTCCTGAACTGCAAAGGATGGTAACCAGGGCAGTATATTTCCAGGTCCTACTAAAATCTTTAAATTCTGATGTGATTGCTGGAATATAATTAAGATGTTGACATGGGAAATTCAGATGGCAAAAATGAGATATATGTCTTATTTGTTCCCAGAGAGACTGAAAAACATTGAGCTTGTTTGTAAGTGCAGAGACAGTTTTCCATGACAGCAGTTTCACAGATGCTAAAAAGTGATGTTATCTCAATAAAGATTAATTGAAAATAAAATTAAATGATTAAAAGTTATGTTGTTCATATCCATTGTTCAACAACTACAGATCAAGCAGCACAGTAAGTCTTACATTAACACTCATGGTAAGAGTTTCTTATTACTTGGATTCCAGAAATGTAGTGAGTTTATAGAGTCAATTATTTCAGTTAAGGAAGGTCTCGATTTCACTTTTCTGATGAAACAAAAATGTTCTTAGCTTGTCTGGTTTTCAGAGTTCCTAAGGTCACTCCATCCTTTAAAGATTACAAAGTATTTTGTTCAAATATTCAGTGATTCCTGTTTTAAAAAACAACACAGGCAAATAGACTATTCTACATTAAAAATGATAGCAGACCTTCCAAGAATTGATATCTCATCTGAGACATCTGAGAATTAATGGTTCAACTAATTTGGTTTGAGGATATTGATGCTGCTGTCTCCATTACATGATGACATGCTAGTGGCCCATGTCTAGCAGGGTACAATCTATTTCATGACACCTCAACTTCAGTCACCTAAAAGGAACTGCCTATTGAAGGACAATTTGGTAGGTAGATTGGTTTGTGTGACTGATGACTGTTGGAAATCAGTTATCAGGGAATTTTGTGTGGTCGATTCTTTTGATCAGTTAGAGAGATAGAGAAAACAACAGGGGGATTTTTAAGTAAGGAAAATATCCAAGGGCCAGGTTATTTTTAGGACTGCATAAATTAAATCTCTGATCAGAAGACTGAGCATTAAGTAAGATAGGAATTAAAGTTAGAGTTTTGTTCTACGGTGTGATGAATTATAAGATAAATTGAATGCATATCTTTGCTAAATATCTTATATAAAAAGCAAAGCATTATTTGAAAAGAGAAAAACAATGATTATACTTGGAAAGCTCTGTGGAACCAATATCCTTTGCTTTACCAAAGAACACACAGGCTTCAATATTACCCCAAGCAACATGTTATGATCTATCTGATGAAGCACTAAATACCTTGTGTAAACTTGTAATAAGTTCATTTAAAATATATTCACCTTTCAAGAGAAAGTGCACTGTTCTCATGCCTCTTCTTATTGCCTCTACATCAAGATTGAAAGTCACATCCAAGGGTGCCATAGAGAGACAATTGTAAACTACGGAGAAGAAGGAAATGGGCAGATACCCAAATAATTGCAGGATATTTCTAGTTTCTTTTGTAAAAACTTGAAAAGTATTTATTAGAATAAATTCTACTGGACATCTTCTATGGAAAAGGTAAATAATTTTAGAGTAAATCAAATATATTGATGTGACACATTTAAAAATACTGGATTCCATGTGCATTTCGAGCAAAGGAAGATATTTATCATCTTTTACTAAGTTAGTGAAGTTCAAATTCAAGTGTCTTGCTGCAAAGCAGTTTAGTGTCCAAAAGTTGTTATTCTAGCATAGGACATTTATGACCCGTGAGTGAAGCCAATTATGGTAGGAGGTGTCTCATGAAAGTATTATGCCTATCAAAATATTAAAAGAAAGCAATAATATATAATTTTGAGAATCATAGGAATTAATAATAGCATACTATTAACAGTATATAATAATATAAATGTTGAAAGGAATAGTAATAGTAATTTCTATGACATGTCTTATGTTTTGGACTGTTAGAAAATTTAATGGTAATTTGAAGTATGACTATAGATTACTGTAAATTTTATCTGATGGCAATTCCAGTTCCAAATGTGATATTTCCTGGCTATACACATAAACCTGGATACTTATATGGATTTTTACAAAATGATTTTTTTCCACATAATGCAGAAATTTGTTGCTCTTGTCTGCTAGGGACAACAGTATAACTCTTTTCTTCCATTTATTTCAGTAATGGACTTGATTACATAAATATTCAACTTTCTATATTATTTCTATAAAATTCATGCAATGAGTCTATTTTCTACAATGAACACAGTTTAAAATTGAAAAGGAAATACAAATAAAAATGAATGAAAAACTAAGAGGTTAAAACTATGTATATAAGGTAAATCACAGATCATCTATGTATTAACTAATAAAAGTGTCATGATTTAGTTCTTTCAGGACTTGTGCCTGACTCCTCATGAGCAAGAACTTGAGACAATGGACACTACAATGCAAGGGCTCTTTCTCAGTTGAAGAGTTTAACAAGGGCCTGCTTTATGTCCTTGTTCCTCAGACTGTAGATGAAGGGGTTCAGCATGGGTGTGACCACAGTGTACATCACTGAGGCTATTGCACTTTCCCTGGGGTTTTCGGTAGCAGCAGAACTGAGATACACTCCAAGTCCTGTACCATAGAACAAGGAGACAACTGAGAGGTGAGACCCACATGTGGAAAAAGCTTTATACTTGCCACTAGCTGATGAGATTTTCAAAACAGAGGTTACAATCTTACAGTAAGAGAAGACTATGCCAGTGAGAGGAATGATACCCAGCAGTCCTGCTGTAAAATATATCACTAGCTCATTGAGGAAGGTATCAGAACAAGCAAGTTGGATCACCTGATTAAGTTCACAAAAGAAGTGAGGAATTTCTAGTTGTGTACAAAAAGACAGTCGTAAAACCATTAAGGTATGTAATAGAGAATCCAGAATACTCAGTAACCAGGAGGCAAGAAGCAGGACACCACAGAACTTGGGGTTCATGATGACCATGTAGTGCAGGGGGTGGCAGATGGCCACAAATCGATCATAAGCCATTGCTGTCAAGAGAAAGTTGTCTAATCCTCCAAAAAGCATGAAAAAGTACATTTGGTAGAGGCAGCCTTCAAATGTAATGACTTTGCTCTGCATCTGGATGTTGAGCAGCATCTTTGGGACAGTGATGGAAGTGAAACAGATGTCAGCAAAAGATAGGTTGGAGAGAAAGAAGTACATGGGAGTGTGGAGATAGGAGTCCGTGATTATGGCCATGATGATGAGAAGATTTCCAATGAAAGTAATCAGGTACACAGAGAGGAATAGCCAAAAGAGGAGAGGCTGCAGTCTTGCTTCTTGGGAGAGTCCTAGTAGGATAAATTTTGGAGCAAGAGTTTGATTTCCTGATTCCATGTAGCTGAGAAAACGCTTTCTGGAGAAGAAACAAGAGTAATATAAAATTTAGACACAAGCATTTATCAATAACTTAACATAATGTAATTGTTTTATTTTTAAGTGCACTTAATAATAAACATATTTATATAAAATCTATATATTTAATGTCCATTATCTAGAAATTTCATGGTTCATGATCTTTACAACCATTTTTGATACTGAAAAAGAACAGTCATCCTGTGCTCTACATATCTTTCCAGGGCATATTTCTTCTGTAAATTTCCTGAGATTTTTTTTGTTCAAGAGATTTTTTTGACCAATTGTTTTCAAATTTCCTTTAAGGCACTGGTAACAGCTCTGAAATTGAATTAAAAAAATCCCTAGCACTGTTACAGGTCTGTATGTGACCAGGATACAATAGAGATTAAGTAAATAAGTATAACATTTCACTGCTGATTATTATAATTAAGAAAAATAACACATTTTGATGAATATGTAGGGCTCAGAGGAAAACTTGTTAGCTGCTTCCTATTAAGGGACAATGAATGAAAATCTGAAGGCAGTGGGATATATCTACAGAAGGATATAACTACTTGGCAAGGATCTATCTACGAGAAGTGCATTTAGGTCAGAGAACTAACTAATTAAAAGATACAGAAAAAAAGAAATATTCCTGGCACCATGAGACAAAAAGAAGGGGTGGTGTGAGTAGGGTGGGAACAATAGAGATAGAACCTAGAGGTAAGAAAGAGAGAGATAGCAGGAGGCTAGAATATTCAGCTGCTGGAGAGTTCCTAACATGCGGGACCCCACAGGTGCTGTTAATTAAACGCACAGATTGTATTATATATGATGCATCTAAATATTTAATATCTATAGTGTACATAATGATACATAATTTGATACCTATGTAACTATACTTCTTAAACTTTCATTTAGTCTAAATTCTCTATTTTTGTTTATAGAAGAGAGTTTCAGCTTGGGACCTCTGTTTATTCTGTGTGTCCTTCACTTAATAAATAATTTTCCCTTTATACACCCATAACCCCTCCCCCCAGTGATGATGTTATGGTATTGTGTTTTCCTGTATCCAATACCTAAATAATGTGAACAGCATTATTCACAGATTAGACTCCTAGCTTCATTCTTCTCTGGTTGTTGAATTTGGTAATTCAAGCATTCCAATGGAGTGGTACTTCTGACTCTGAATTCAAAGACAAGACATTTGAATTATTCAGGTAGAGAGAGACAAAAGAATGAAAAAGATTGATGACAGCCTATGTGAATTATGGGACACCTTGAAGAAATAATACATTTGCATTATGGGAGCCCTAGAAGTAAAAGAGAAGCATTAAGTGCAGAAGCTTTATATGAAGAAATAATGGCTCAAAAGTTTCCCAATTAGGGCTCCCCTGGTGGTGTAGGGTTGTGTCTCAGCACTATCACCTCTGCAGCATGAGTTTGACCCCAGCTAGGGAGCTTACACACTCCTATCACCCACTGGTCCCCTTAGCAGTGTATATCAGTAAATCACCAGCTTTGTGCCTCATTCTATCTCTGGTGAATCCTTTCACCCCCCACACCTTGGCTTATACCCCAGTTTTTCTACAAATAAATGAATAAATCTTAAAAAATCCCCCAATTTGGGGACAGATATGGACATTCAGGTTCATGAAGCTTATACGTCCCCAAATTAATGGAATGCAAAATATCAAAAAATGAAGATAAAGAGAATAAAAAGTAGAAGACAAAAGTTCAATTTCTTAGAAGGAATACCCATAAATCTATCAGAGGATTTTTTTAGCAGAAACCTTACAGGTTAGGGTAGTTTAGAATACTATATTTAAAATGTTGATATAAAAAAAAACCCCTGCCAACCAAGAATACTCTATCCAGCAAAATTGTTCTTCAGAAATGAGGGGCATTAAAGACTTTCCCAGATAAACAAAAGCTGAACAAATTCATCAACACTAGATTGTCTATACAAGAAATGCTAGCAGGAATAATTAAATATGTAATGAAAAAATACTAATTATTAACATGAAAACATATGATCTGACATGAAAGTATAAAAGTAACTAATAAAGGTAAGATTATATATAGTGAAATTCAGAATAATCTAAATCTGTAATGAAGATGTATGCCATTTGGCTTTACCAAAAAGATTAAAAGACAAAAGGAGGAAATATAAGTATTTGCACAAAACATAGAGAGAAAGAAATCAAGACACACCACTGTGGAAAATCATCAAATCACAAAGGAAAATAGAAAAAGTAGAAAGGAATTGCTGGATCATATGGAAGCTCCATCTTTAGTAAGTAAAGAAATCTCCACACAGCTCTCCATAGTGACTGGATCAGTTTGCACTACCACCAGTAGTGCAGGAGAGTTCCTTTTTCTTCACATCCTTGCTAACATTTACTGTTGCTAGTTTTTTTAAAATGTGCCATTCTCACTGGTGTAAGATGGTATCTCATTGTAGTTTTGATTTGCATTTCTCTAATTACAAGGGATGTTGTACATTTTTTCATATTCCTGTTGGCCATTTGCATTTCCTCTTTGGAGAGGTTTCTTTTTAGCTCTTCTGCCCATTTTTTTTTTATTTATCTCACATCAAGTTTAAACATTTAATTATGAGAAGCATGTCATTCTGATCATGACCATCACATTTGCATTTTTGGTAATGTACAATTTCTTTTTCTTTTTTTCCCCCCACATTTTATTTAAATTTTATTTTTTATATTCCCCATACAATTGCAACCCCCTTATTTTGACCCCAAACCCTCGTTTCCCCAACCCCTACCCTCCATAAAGTGTGTCTGGTTCATAGTTTTATGTAGATTTTGATATTTTCTTTCTTATAGTTATTCTTTTTCCTGGTCCCTTATTTAAGTTTTCTAGATTCCTGCTATGAGTGAGACATCCGGTATTTTTCTTTTCCTTTCTGGCTTAGTTCGCTGAGCATGATCCCTTCCAGTGCCATCCATGTTGCTGCAAATTGCATGTGTTTATCTTTTTTGAATGCTGAGTAATATTCCATGGTATATATGTACCACGTCTTCTTGATCCAGTCATCTATTTTTGGGCATTTGGGCTGTTTCCAAAGCTTAGCTATTGTAAATTGTGCTGCTATAAACAGGGGTGCAGGTGCTCTTTGGAATTGATGTTTCTGTGTCCTTTGGGTAAATACCTAGGAGTGGAATTGCTGGATCCTATGGGAAATCTATGATTAGTAGGGCAAGAAATCTCCACACAGCTCTCCACAGTGGTTGGACCAGTTTGCACTCCCACCAAAAGTGCAGAAGAGTTCATTTTTCTCCACACCCTCGCCAACATTTGTTGTTGCTAGTTTTTTTAATATGTGCCATTCTCACTGGTGTAAGGTGGTATCTCATAGTAGTTTTGATTTGCATTTCCCTGATTACGAGTGATGTTGAACATTTTTTCATATGCCTGTTGGCCATTTGCAATTCCTTTTCAGAGAAGTTTCTTTTTAGCTCTTCTGACCATTTTTTGAGTGGATTATTTTCCTTGTTGTTGAGTCTCATCAGCTCTTTGCAGATTTTTGTGAAGTCCTTTATCATTAGTGTTGTGTGCAAAAATGTTCTCCCATTTGGTGGGGTTTCTCTTTGTTTTTGTTATTGTCTCTTTTGCTGTGCAAAAGCTCTTTAATTTGATGTAGTCCCCGCTGTTTATCTTTGTCTTCACTATCATTGGTTTGGGTGATGTGTCTATAAAGATGTCTTTGATGTGAATATCATATAGTGTTTCGCTTATATATTTCCTTCTATGTATTTTATGGTTTCAGGTCTTATGTCTCGTTCTTTAATCCATTTTGAGTTGATTTTTGTGTATGGTGTGAGGTAGTGGTCAAGCTTTATTCTTTTGCATGTAGCGACCCAGTTTTCACAGCACCATTTATTGAACAAACTTTCTTTGCTCTAATGCATAGTCTTTGCTCCTTTGTCAAAGATTAGTTGACCATAAATCTGTGGATTTATTTCTGGATTTTCTATTCCATTCCAGTGGTCTATATGTCTGTTCTTGTTCCAATACCATGCAGTTTTTGATATTATGGCTTTGTAGTATAGTTGAAGTCTGGAGTGTGGATGCCTCCATTCCCTTCTCTTTTTTTTCAGGAGAGCTTTGGCTATTCGGGGTTTTTTGTGGTTCCATATGAATTTCATCAATAATTGTTCTATTTCTTTGAAGAATGCCATTGAGATTTTGATTGGAATAGCATTGAATCTGTATATTGCTTTTGGTAGGATGGTCATTTTAATAATGTTTATTCTTCCAATCCATGAGCAGGGGATGTCTTTCCATTTCTTTGTGTCTTCTGCTATTTCCTTTAACAGTGTTTTATAGTTTTCTTTGTATAGGTCCTTTACCTCTTTTGTTAGATTTATTCCTAGGTATTTGATTTTTTTGTTTCAATAATAAAAGGGATGTTTTTTTAAATTTCTTCTTCTTCAGATTTATTGTTTGTGTAGAGGAAGGCTACTGACTTTTGCATGTTGATTTTGTATCCTGCCACTTTACTGAACTGATTGATGAGTTGAATTAGTTTCTCTGTGGAGTTTTTTGGGGTTCTCTATGTATATTACCATATCATCTGCAAATAGTGATAGCTTGCCTTCTTCTTTTCCTATTTGGATTCCTTGTATGTCTTTCTCTTGTCTTATTGCTCTGGCTAGGACTTCCAGTGTTATATTGAAAAGCAGTGGTGAGAGTGGACATCCTTGTCTTGTTCCCAATCTTAATGGAATCGCTTTCAGCTTTGCACCATTGAGAATGATACTGTATGTTGGCTTGTCATATACGGCCTTTATGATGTTGAGGTATGTTCCTTGTATCCCAAGA